ACAGCTGACTTTGTTGTTGTGACGGTATGGTGTGGTTTGACAGCTGACTTTGTTGTTGTGACGGTATGGTGTGGTTTGACAGCTGACTTTGTTGTTGTGACGGTATGGTGTGGTTTGACAGCTGACTTTGTTGTTGTGACGGTATGGTGTGGTTTGACAGCTGACTTTGTTGTTGTGACGGTATGGTGTGGTTTGACAGCTGACTTTGTTGTTGGACCATACTTTCCCGAAGAACCATTAGCATATGGTGCGAAAACCTACACAGTCAATGTTGCCCGGTACCATGCAATGCTAGCAACCAATGTGATTCTGAAGCTGTAACAACGAAATGTGATAGACACTACGGTCTTCACGCAGAATGGTGCCCTTTCGCACAATGGTAACACGGGTCTTGTTGGAGTGGAGCACTTTGAGGTCAGAATCATTTCGAATCACTTTCCATGTGAATAACCACCTCATTCACTGGACTTAATAATAGCCAATTTCTGATTGTGGGGTACCTTAAGTCACGTGTGTACCGTGGAAAGCGCCACACAATTCCAATTGTAGTTTTCCGGAGAGTGGACAACATGTCAAATGAGATGTGCATTTTTGCTGTGGTTGATCAGACATTTGGTCATAATGACACCCCTGGTGGAAACACGCTGTAACTATTGCATTTGCGTGGTTTTATTAACACCTCTGTGTTACTTCGCCATACCGTTATTGAGATAATTGCGCTGAAGTGTGAAACTTTCTGTACAAGCGTCATGGATACGATAATGATATACACCCGTGTCTAATTTTGTTTTAATTGTTACTTCTCCTTATGAACATTTTTGTCTAACGCAAACATCGCATTCAGCTTTTCAGAAATTTTTATAACGAGTTTTCTTTTGTTGTTAAGTACAAAGCTACACAATGGGTTATACGTGCTTTGGTATCGAAAACCAGTTTTTAGCATTTTAAGCCTACAGACTTACGGCTGTGCCACTGAGGGCGTTATAATCAGGTTTGTTTGTTTGAAGTTTAGCACAAAGCTACACAATGGGCTATCTGTGCTCTGCCCACCACGGGTATCGAAACCCGGTTTCTAGCGATGTAAGTCCGCAGACATACCGCTGTGCCACTGGGGGGCGTTATAATCGGGAGTAGAATAATTGAATAATTTTGTTTTAACACGAATATATGGATATGAATTATAAAAATAAAAAAACTAAAACTGTTGAAAAGTGAATTATTTATAAAAATAAATACCCAAAAAATAAACCAAAAATACCCCTGCTAACTTCAGACCTTAACTAGAATACGACTCTTTAGAATTCTGAAGAACAAAGTGGCATAACGTTCTACCAACTAGTTGATCGTTCAGAGTTACCTGTCCCTTGTTAACTTCACGGGGATGATTCTATTTTATCTTTATTTTGTGATCTTCTTAATGTACTTTTTTTGCAACTAATTATTTGAAATAATTCAACGCAAGCCACGTTTTACCATTCAAAGCCAGCTGTATCCTTGAGTGTTGATTCTTTAGCGGATATAAGTACCCTACCAACTATTACATACTCTGATACAAAATAGTTTAGACCATAACGAAACTTGAAATACTTTATTACACAAAATGTGCTTTGTTTTATTACAAGTGGTGCTTATTAAAACCAAATTTTACATTAAATTGATAATATTTCAGATAAACTATGGTTCTTTTATAGAGAATGCTGATAGTCCAGCACCTTAATTTGTAACAAACGTATGAATAATTAATTAAAATGTTTGACTCTGTGATTTAGTTTCAGACTTCTAAATATCCATGCTACAGGAAAGGATCAAAAGCATAGCACTTTTGCTGTCTAGATGTAATCTATTTCTTGCTTAAATTAATATGTTTGTCCGTCCGTATTTTACCAATAAACCTTTCACTGTGGCAGGTCCAGAAAGGGTAAACCATATAGTAACAAGTAGACAGAGACAAGATGACCTGTACAGAACTGACATACCCGGAAAATTTTAACAATTAAATGTCTTAAACCGTGTATTTCAACACACACCTCGTCTGGTCAGGTCTTTAGATACAAGAAAAACATGGTATCAACGACACTTCGTCAAGCAGTCAGGAGCCTCCTCGGGAGCGGAGGTCTGAAATTGAACAATTAAAATGTCAAAAACGCCGATTTGAATGTTTACCGTTTGATCGTAAACATCTCGCCAGATGTCGTCATGCCCAATCAGGATCAAGCTTCAAGAAATCTATTCTTGACAAAAGAGGTGACAGAGTCCTTGAGTTGCACGTTGTTGATGCAGTACCGTACAAGTTTTATTACTGGATAGAATGTAAAGGCAGCAAGAACTAATTATTTGAGTTTGTTTGGAATTTCGTGCAAAGCTACTCGAGGGCTATATGCGAGTCGTCCCTAATTTTGCAGTGATAGACTAGAGGGAAGGCAGTTAGTCAACACCACCCACCGCCAATTCTTGGGTTATTCTTTCACCAAGGAATAGTGGGGTTGGCTGTCACGTTATAACGCCCCTACGGCTTAAAAAGAAGCATGTTTGGTGGCGGGGATTCGAACCTACAACCCGCAGATACCGAGTCGAGCATCCTAACCACAAAGCCGAGCACAATTATTTGAGCGGAGCTCATTCAGATCTTCAGTATGTCGCTTTCAAAGTGTAAGAAAGGTCAAAGAAGAAAACCCTGAGCACATATGGACTTCCATTGATTTATATGATATTTACAGCTGTCGTTGAATGCTGGATAGTTTCATTAGCAACAGCCACTGTCGTTGAATGTCGGATAGTTTCAATAGCAACAGCCACTGTCGTTGAA